CCCGCCACGCCCCGCCACGCCCCGCCCCGCCACGCCACGCCCCGCCACGCTCGTCATAAAGTACTGTCTCCGCCGCGGCAGCTAGAGACGCTATCGCAGGGAAGGGCCCCCGCGGGCGCGGCGCGCCGGGCAGCCGTGTAACGATATGCCGACGGAATTAGCTCCGAGGGATTAGTTCTATACCGTGGTTCGACTCCATTCGCCCGCGGAGGTACACTCTCCCAGCAGCACATGCCGGCCATTCGACATTCTGAGCAATTCTGTATAGACCGCAGATAGGAAATTCACCGAGTCAGGGAAAGCCATACTATCTGTAACCGACGTGATAAGAATTTCCTGCCTAAGACGTCTTTTCCGTTTCTTAGGAGGAGTAGCGTCAGCGTCAAAGGAGGAGAGTAGCGTCAAGAAGGAGGCAGGAGTTTGTTTGGTGTTTTTGAGACCGCCCCTATTCTCCCTCCCTCCACCTTGTCCACGTCCGGACCGGACGGTCCGGTATCCCGGCCCTTTGCGAATGTCTCCGATATGCAATGGAAGGGTGGTGTGCCTGTCCATGCAAATGAGCGGTTGGGTCAGGCTGCCCGGGCCGTGAGTCACTGGGCGGCGCCGGTCGGACATGCCGGAGCGCGCACCCTAGGAGGGTAGTGACCCCTCAGGACAGTGGCGCCATCCCGCTCGAGGAAAGTTTTAGTATTATCATGGTGTTTGGGCCGACAGGACAGGAGACAAACTTAAAGTGAGGGACTCAAACGAGCTAATAAGAGGAAGAGGGTATATTTAATTTTGTTTTTACATGTAGAATATGATCATTCAGTTTTGTTTTTTGCGCCAGTGCCAGTGTCCTCAAGTTCTGCCAGAAATAATTTTGAAGAAAGGAGAAACGTTTCGAATGAGTTTTGGGAAATATCAGGAAATGGATTTGAATTTAAACGACTTTGTTTTCGAGGTGAGCGCCCGGTGGTTAGGCAAAGCGATGCAAGCCTGCTGAGGGGTTTGGCTATCACCAACTGGACACCGAGAGGGATGATTCACCTCTCTACCTCTGTTCACTGAGACACCCTCATTCAAGGTCCGGCGAGAAAACTCGCGAGACTTTCATCCTCGTTGAGACGATGGCCACGCTGGGCAGGTGGACGTGGGTGGACAGGATCCTCGAACAAGAAGATCCGCACTACTTGTGCGTTACCGTGTTCAAGGGAGCTCCCTTCGGACGGAAGAAGCGCCCAGGCGGCGGCGGCATTGACATTACGAAAACATACCGAGCAAAAAATACTGTCACTGTCACGGTCACCTCTCTTTCTGTCCCCTTCGCTCTGGAATAGCTGCAGCCGCCCCCGACGTGTTCTGCCCGACTTCACCCGGGCGTGTGCGACAATTAGTGAGGGGCAGAGAGGCCGTACAAGCGAGAGGGTTGCTCGGGGGAGGGGGTAG